TTTATTAGTTCAAAGTATGCTGGAGGACTTTTGAATTATTGGCAGGTTTCTGCTGTTGGCTTAACCAGTTCATTTCAAGCGGTGTGGATGGGTGCTTTTCACTTACTAGAATAACATTGGTTGAGTAGAAATAAAAAACAACAGATTTGGTCCTGATGATGTTGGATTGTTACCAATTTACACAGTTTAATTTGCGGAGGTGGCGGATGACTCAAAGCCACGATTATTTTTTTCCCTGGAATCTGATCAATTTTCTTCCAGTCGATTGTAAGACCAGAATTACAAATCCTGGTAATGCTGGGGCCACATGGCAGCACCAGATTTGGGAACTTTATTAAAATGCATAGCTATGGATGAATGGGATACAATTGTTTTTGGAGGGATTATTATCCCGGAAAGCCATCCGCCAATCGCCTAACAACTGGGTTCCTTCTTACTGCTAGGTAAACAGACGTGTGGAGTAAGGAAACTTGCTTACAGTTTTGCCCCCTCTCGGAATCGAACCCAGGTCCTCTTGCTTGCGAGGCGAGTGCTCTAACCGATACATTACAGGACTCCACGGGGCTGTGCGGTTACAGGGGTAATTTTGAGGTTGTGTGTGTGTGTGTGTGGATGGGATTATGGAGTGTGTCTGGCAGATGGGTGATGGGATTGTTTTTGGGGTGTGGGGAGAGGTAAGGGGTGTTAAGATGTGCGTGTGTATGTGAGAAGGGTGTTACGGGGATATTTTGGGGTCTGTGTGGGGTTGGGAATGGTGGGGCTTATGTGGTGTGTGGGGTGCTTATGGTTATGGTGTGTATGCCATTAATCCATTCTACCATTAATTATTTTGCTATAATACTCAATTCTATTAATCCATTATACTCTCTGCAATTCCACTATTAAACTCTGTAGCCAGCAGCCTTGGGATATTCAGAGACGGACCTATTTGAACTACCTTTGATTTATCTACGGTCTAAGTAGCCCAGCAGAACATGTCGGAAATGCAATGAAAAAAGTCATCACATAATGTGTAACCGATCCACTCAGAAAATAAGTATATTTTACTTCCCCAGTCGTTGGTGAGGTTCATTACCTAAATAATTGGAGATGTCCTGGCTTGATTATCTTCTATTTACATTGCAGTTGGATGAAATTGACTGGAGCAATGCCTTTTGTATTCTTTCAATAAGTGTTTTGTGTATGAAACAATGTTCAGCTTCGATTACCTTTGTCAATCAGTGTAAATGTTTTCAGGCTTTTTTTTATGGAGTTTGTGGGGTTTCCAATCTTAGTACAATATTTAATTAGCATGTTCTAATTTAGGTAATATCACACAAATGAAATTGACAAAGAAGTTGTTTTTGTTCACATAAACGGGGGGTAGTTTTGAATTGAACAGTATTTGTTGAGTTAGATATCGAGTTATTAAATCGCTACTGTTAAGGCGAAATATATAATAATATAGTAATAATCCTTGCATTTGATATAGTGCCTTATCACATTTTTGAGTCATCTCAAAGCACTTCACAAAATATACTGAAAAGAGTAGTGACTGTGTGTTTTGTGGGTGAAAGCAGTATCATAAATGCACCCTGGGCCCTCAAGTTTTGGCATTTGTCAATGTCTGCCTAAATTCTATGCTTCAGACGAAGAGGATGGACCTCTCTAGAGACAGAATGCTGCTCACTCAACCAAAACTAGATTTGGAACTTTGATGTATGTTAAATAAATGCTCACATTTTCATTTTCAGAAGTCATCCTTAGTGTTGTTTCTGGATCGAGACAATACTTTTACCCCATCGTTTATTTAAAATACTGTACACACCTTAACATTGAATTCAAATAATAAATCTTTCACAAAATCAATCCGGAACATCACAACCTGTCCTGTTGGCTTTATGTTGTTCAATCTCTCATTGAAGCCGTACTGTATACCAAGTGACTAAATGATTGTGCTACCAACAAGGAGGCTGACAGGCCAACAGATTTGTGTTGTTTTGCATATTAGCTCTTTGTCAAGCATTTTTTTTATTTGGGATATAAACAATCATATCAAATCACTCTTGATTTGGGTCCATTGGAGCACAGCTTATTTTTATAGTCCCTTGTTTTTCCCTCTTATAGTTAATGCTCATGTTTAATTTTGAGCAGATGAAGGTTGTAAATGAGCATCATTATGGACTCAGGCAGGCCTCTGCTGCCGCTGACATCTACAACCGTCCACATCATTCATAAAATGAAATGAATACTTTAAAAGGGAATTAATTAACAAAAGAATTGGCTTGAAGTTGAGACAATTATGAAAAAGTGGAACCTGCAGGTCTAACTGTTAATAAACAAACTACCCTCACCCTTCACTGAGAATGATTAGCAGAAAGAGAATCAAATGAACCATCTCCTAAAAGGAGAGATTACTCTTGGTGATCGGTAAATGGGGAGCGAGGGGCATAAGGTCGGGATTGCCACTATAAGAGTTGGGGAGAAAGGAGATGTTCTATTCATGCAGATGGTATTGGAATATGGGAATGCTTTTGTCCCATATGGCTATGGATTCCACTAATTTAATCACCTAAGAGAGTGTTCTGCAAAGTATTTTGTACTCATTGGAAATTGAACAAAACTCCAGAATATTTATCACTTCCCACTCATCATCTCCGGCAAGCTGCCCTCCACCCCTTGTCCTCCCCAGTACAACAGAAATCATCCATAAAATATGTTCTTATTCTATTCCCATCCTAAAGTTTGCAGCGTATCCCATAGAGTGCTTTGAGACGTCTTGACGATGTGATGAGGCACTATATCAAATACATGGAGTATTATTAATAATAATAACCTTTAGAGAAGAATTTTTCTCTTCAGATTTCAGATGTTGACTCCAAGATATTGAAAGTAATAACACAACGCATTCAAGAATTTCTGGTGTACAGCAACCCATGGCTGGCGACGATGACCACCCTTCAATATCATTTAGCTAACTCAACCAAATGACCTCTGCTGATACTGTCCTCTTTAGAATACTCTGGGACTTTTCAGTAAAGCAACACCCATGTTCAGTTAGAGCATTGACTTGATGGGGATTGTGTTGGTCCTTGCAGTGGTTGTTTTTTTTAATTAGTTTTTTGGGGGGAATCTCTTAGCATCATCTGCCATACAAGTGTTGTGGCCCTTTCAGAACAATCTGATGGTGTGCTTGAAACATTCTAAATGTCATTTCATTAAAGCAGACAGAAAAAAGCCTTCCAACAAACATTTCAGATTTTAATTAACTGGATCCATGGGGAAATTTACATTATATAATTTTCCTCACATTTTTTTGTAGCAAATTGCAACAGTTAAGCAATTAGTAAAATTTATTTCACTGATCTCTGAACTGGTGCAATTGACTACATTTCAAATTCGGAGGTGGTATTCACCAACCTTCCACGGTTTATTTTAAAGACACGGTTGTGGGTGGCAGTTGTGTTTGAAATAGCATTTTGACCTGGTGAATTAATGTTCTCAAAGTTGAACTGAAACACAACTGGATTTGTTTGCTTTGCCTGTTCAAAGGGATATCGCGTTTTGCCACTAGATGTTTAGAATTTTTCACATAGCAAATCTAAACCTAGCCGTGCAATCCTGAAATTTGTTTAAAGGAAACTTGTAACAGGGAAATTGGTTGAATATAAGAACGACTTGTGTGTTGTGCTGTAGGAATGCACATTTGTTATCATACACACACACACTCACCACATACTGCACACACACACACACACACACACCAATCTCAATCTTCACAATCTTGCCTATGCTGTCTGGGGTAGGTGCCAAGCAAAGGCCAGGTGCTTGCACAGGGAAGGAGAATTCACCCTTGGCTTGTGTTGCATGTCTCCTGGCAGCTGGTGCCACAGAAGCACTGGCCAAGACCTGGTTGTCCTAACAGCGGGGAATAGTTAAACTTAGAGGAAGAGAAACAACGTACAACCTGGGTCCAAAAATAAAATCTGGGTACAATAAAGCTGTGTGTGGTGATGCCTGCATGAAGGTAAATATCAGTTTCAAGGCTGGCATTCCGTTCAGTGAGGCCAATGCTTGTCTGCAATAATTTCCATCCACGAAAATCTGATAACAGTTGAAGGCTTGAAATTATAGTATAATGTATGTTTAATGCTACACAAAAGAAAAATGTTATTTATCTTTCAGATGCCAATGTTCACCCCCTTTTCTTCCCTTTTTCTGAAGGGACTGATTCTCTCTGGAGTATGCACCCACAGTTGCTTGCAGTCTGATGGAATTTCCCCCAATTACCCCTGTTCATGTATGTGCTCTATAGACAGTGTGCGTCATAGGAATAGGCCATTCAGCCCCTCGATCCTGTCCCACCATTCTATAAGACAATGGCTGATCTGTACCTCAACTCAATTACCTACTCTTGCCCCATATCCCTTGATACCCTTACCTAACAAAAATCTTATCGACCTCAGTCTTAAAAATTTGAACAGATCCAGCATCCACAGCCTTTTGGGTAAAAATGGATCATAACAGAGTATTGACCCTGAATCAATGTCCTCAACTGATCTGAAAATGTCACCGTTTCTTAATCTGAAAGTAACTTTTGGCTTAAATAAAATGCACGGGACTGTGGAGAATTCATCAATTTAGTGTTTATTGGTTGTTAGTTCTGTTTAACAACTATAGCAAAATGGCTTCCAAATTAAGACTGAATTTGAGAATGCTCCACAATTCTACTCAATCATAAATTTTTAAGGCAAAATGCTCTTGGAGACAGAGACAAGGGCCCCGTGATGTCCAGATGTGCATTATTTGCAGAAGGGTTCATTGAATGACATGTGGGTGGGGAGTGGGAGTAAATCCAAAATATAGACAATATCACAAATAATTTATCGCAGTGTTATTGCAATACATGTTATTGTTCCTGTTTTCGCACATTTTTGTTTCATGTTTTCAAATCAGCATTGTAATAAACCACCTCTTTTCACAGTGCAATTCCCAGCTGTTTGTTTTCTGTTCTCATCATCCACATTTTTGACGTGATTTCCCAAACATTCTACATCAACGTTACTCTACTCGTGGACTGTTGTGAGTGTTGCACATCGTTTTCTTTCTTATATTTATTTTTTTATTTTGTTGTCACATGTTTAATAAAAGCTAACGGTTGCCCATCTTATGCAATAATTGCTATTGAGTAATTGGAAATAATGAAAAGAAAGAGTTGCTGGATATGCACTTTTTGGAGGAACTGATGGCTTTAAATTCTGTCCCCAGACAAAGTATATTTGATTATCCTACGCACTGTTATTGTAAATGCTGTGTCTTTATATCCAACTCTCTCTCTCTCTCTCTCTCTCTCTCCAGGCAATTTAACTCTTCAATTGCCAGCTTCTGAATTCTCAAATTATCTGAACTATTAATCGCCTTTTGAAAGATTTGATCTCAGGGCTCTTGGGCAGCCTATCTGGGGAGGTTAGGAGGAATTTCTTCATCTATTAAATTCAAATCTATCGCCACAAGTAGTTTTTGAAAACGAATCCTTGAAAATGGAACTGGCTGAACACCTGAACAATAAAAACATTAAGGGACAATATTATTATTAATAATAATAATAATCCTTGCATCTGATGTAGAGCATTATCACTTCTTTGAGATGTCTCAAAGTTCTTCACAGGATACACTATAAAGTGAATTGACTGCATATTTTGGATATGAAGCTCACATGATTCCCTCCCCTTCCATGAAGAGTCTGTTTCTGTTAAATTCCTATGACATTATTAGATTTTCAATTAGTGGCCATGGGGATTATGATGTGAAATTTCCCCTTTTAAAAGGATAAGGGGGGAATGGGTCTTGCTTACTTTAAAACAACCTCATGAAACAACAGAATTATCCAAAAATCCATAATGAATATTATTGTACAATTGCAGACATGGGTGACAACCAACATGGCTGCTTTATTCTGTAGGTAAAACCAGGAGAGGTTTACAAGAGAAACACTTTGCTTCTGCACAATATTTACACTGGAGACTTTGCAGTCTGTGCTGTTCACTTGTAAGTGGGAGCATGTACAGGCCAAGCGTGTAGCACTGTGCTTAGCATCTGATGCAGAGGATTGCTGGGCAGGAACTCTGGGGCTTGTTGTATTTGGATGGGCTGAATCTGGTCTGCGAAGTCAGCAGGGTTCAGTTTGCCTGAATGCGGAACTCCACTCTGCTATCAGACAGCTTTACCTTAATGTACGTCTTGTTTACGTTGACAGGAGGCTGGCTCTGTGCATTCTGTATACTAATTTCCCACATAATCTTCGTATATATCTCCTCTAAGATCAAGCGCAGACATCAGTGTCATGGGACAGCAGTAATAGAACAGTGTACTTCTGGCCTAAAGTTAGGTTGGACACGCTACAAAAACCTTTGCTTAGTCAACCCCTGTGCACTTTATAATGAGGCAGAATGCAGCTGGTGAAAGATTGGAATAGGGATCAGTATATTCCAGAGCTAGCTTCTAATCATGGTTTCACATGATACCTTTCGCATAGGATAATATCTCAAAGGACTTTATAGAAATGTTCTGCAACACCAAGGAAGAGGGGAAGAGTGTGATTGTTCTGGGGATGGTCCCAAAACACATTCAAAGATGTGTATTTTTAGGAGAGCTTTGAAGGTAGGGACATTGGACTGAGTGAAGGGTTAGTCCAGAGAGCAGGGGTTGGAAACTTGGTCGTCGATGGTGAAATGGAAAGAGAGAGGGATTAGCAGCAGGTGAACATTCAGAATAAGAACAACACTCGCTTCCAAGGAGGCTGTGTTACACTTACTTGTTGACTTTTATATAGTTAGGGATTAAGCATTTTAAAAACGGGTCAATTTGTATTTCACGTATCTGACTTTTTGTAGCTGTTTTCCTCATGGAAGTTTAATGGCAGTGCAAGTGGGTGTATTGTGCTCCAGATGTGCGTTGGTTTGCCTTTTGTGTTGGTATTTTTTAACCTAAGTACCTTGAGGCCTGGGAAATTGATCCCAAACCTCATTGGGGGTTTTGACCAGTGTTGCACATGTGCTGTTGCAAATTGTCTCACAACTAGGTTTCGCGGAGAAGATTCCAGTTACTTAACAAAAGTTGGAATAAAAGAAATTGTCTGTAGATATTTATGTTCTGTGCTTCCTGGAAGGATAATTTAACTAAAAACAAGTATATTTCACCCATCAACATTACTTTTTTAAAAATATTTTGAAAGCAAATCTCCAGCAAATGGTTTGTTGCAAATATTTCCTTTTGCCACCTAAATCCCAAGAGCTTCTTTGTGGCTAAATTGCAATCTAAACAAAAGCATTTAGCATTTCCTGTGTTTATGAAGGGCCAAAGAGATTTCAAGTGTCGAATAGAATTATAATTGTAACTTTCTTTCCTTCATTACTTCTGCAGTCTGTGTGATACACTCATCTCGCTACACTTAGTGCAATAAAATGGAAATGTATTTGTTCTACTTAGAGGGGGAATTGAGGAGCCGTAAAACTGCTATATACGATACAAAATTACATGTGTATAGCATAACTTACTTTACCCAATAAATTGGAACAGAACCCTGGAACTGTTGCTTCAGGAGAGCTCAATATATTTCCACCACTCCTGTTTATAGCTGTATCTTACCCCTTTCCCCATCATCATCATCATCATCATTATCCCCAGAAGAGAGGATGGGAAGATCTGCGGCCAAATCTCCAATTTCCCCTCTACCGTGCGGATGGATTGATACAAATGGCCGATCTACATAACTCAGCTGAGATCAAAACATTTAGGGGAGAAGGCGTGTAGGGGGACTAATGACTAATGTCATTCTTAAATTTAATTTACTATTTTACCTTCTTACTCTTTGCTTATAGTCTGCCTGAGAAACCTGCACCTTTCCTCTGGACTGGAGACGTCCTCCAGTGTCTCTTCACTTGGAATCTTATTGCATCACCAAATATTTTTTATACTGGCTGTCTCGCTTTCTTTTCTCCTTTCCCAATCTTGCCACAGTAGGCATGAAACATAAAATGCTTAAAGTTGGACTTGTTTATAATCTACAGTCCTTTATTTAAAGGGCACTAAATCTTGCATGATGGTGTGACTTGTATATCAATTATTGCAGCATACTTTAGACAAACGCTCTGGTTTCTCTGTCAAATTGTTGCTGTTGAACAAATTGTTAAACTAACCCCGTGTGGAGACGATAGTTGCCTTTTAGATAACCGAGCACCGAAACAAGATGAGAATTTCTTAGTTTGCCTACCTTATCTGTGATTCATCCTTCATTTCCCTTAATCCTGTTATCTGTTTTTGTTTACTGTGCTTTCAAAGTAGCATCCTATTCTGTGAGACCTTGCGGGCATTAATCTGCATACTTCATAACACATTAAAGAAAAATGTGCCTTTAATCCCAGCAGGGGAATTTTCACCTGGACTTCAATCAGATATTTCACATCTTAAGAACCGTATATTTACTGGAAGAAAACTTAAATTATTATTTCTTGAACTCAGTTTTTTCACCAGGGATTTAATGTTAACAGTGATTTTTCAACCCAGGGCAAAAAGCCTGCGTTTATGGATTGATCCGATATTTCCTAATCAATGCAATTCATTTTAATACCGCGCTCCTGCCCTTGCTATTACTTTGTTGCATCTTGATTTTTGCAGAAAATGACCTGTTTTGTTAAACAGACTCATCTTGCAACAAATGACTTTCCTCGCTTCCAGCGGACACCATTGTAGCAACCAATGTGGAAACTCGTCATCAGGGGCGGTTAATAAACCGTCCAATGTTGTTATCCTTATTAGTGAGTTTAGGATTTTGGTCACCATCAAATTCAAATGGAGGAGAACAGACTGCAATAATTGTCTCATTACTGAGATGCCCACAAGGTAAGGTTCCTGTGTCCTTTTCATGAGTCGTCTGAATTCCTCTTCTTTTTTTCTTCACCCCCTCCTGCCCTCGCAACTCTTTTTTTCGATCTTCAGATGGGAGTGGGTGTATAATCTGATCAAGTGGGGGTATGTGTGGAGTATAAACCCCGTGTTCTGAGTGGCCCGTTTCTGTGCTGTATGTACCTATAGTGCTATGAGGAGAAAATCTGATCATGTTCAACAAGATCATCGAAAAAAATGTTTGGATAATTATTTGTATATCAACTTGTATTCTGCTCTGCTGTTACAGAATAAAATTTGCTTGTTAATTCTGAACCCTGGATTCATTTCCTTCATTAAGTAGTGCAGTTGTAAATAACAATGATGGTCAAGTCAGCTTCACCGTTTTTCCAAATTGCCCAAAAAATGAAGTGTTATTACAGTCATTTTTAAAGCATTATGGGTGGATATCCACTGAACAGTACAACTCACCTTAACCCACAGTCAGTGGAAATAGTGTCACATCTTTGGATAGAAGATAAGATTAGCAGATGCTTTTCAATACATTTTTGGGCTATTTTCATAATTCTGAACAACTCCGGCAGACAGCTAACCGAGATTGAAGTTGCTGACTTAATGTCTCCAGTTTCTACTTTTCTTGTGAAAACAAGTGTAAGTGACAAGCAAGCAGAGTATTTTCAGTGGAGAAGTGCCACAGATGTGAGGAGAGGTCTTGGGTTGGTGATAGTCAGATAATGTTTGACCCCCAATCTTCAGCAACAGATAGCAAAGGAATTGCATGTCATCTGTCAGAAGCCTGCAAACTCCCGGTTGGATTATCTGTCAACTGCTACTCGTGTTGGGCTCAGTATTTCTGCACTGATAAAAGAAAGAAAACTGACCTTTCAAAGTGGGATTAATTGCAGTTTGAAACATTTAAGGACCAGGACAAATTCCTCTGATTCCATTTGTGGCTCCTTTTTTTTCATTCTGTGCACATTGTGTCTTGGCCTACAGTGTACGTCATCTGAATCTGAAGCTGTATGCTTCAGTACGGTGCCAGTGGCCTGATGCTGTGTGATATTTATGGGTGAGTTGAGCTTCCAAAACCATTTTGTCTTCCATCTGTCTACCGGCTTTTAAAAGATTGATCTCTTTGACCGTCTCTAAATTCTAAATTGTTGCTATAATTTAAATTGTCTTTGTTTTAAACATCTCCTATTGACCGAGAGCCCCTCCTCTAAATTGGGATGGTCCAACTGGTGGCCTGCAGGCTAATTTCATCCACCCCCACTGCATTTAATCTGGCCCACCCACTCCCTCCATAACCCGTAAATGCTGTGGTATCTTCCTGGAGAGGAAATACAAAAATATTTCTCAGGCGGCCCGTGGACATTCCTCAAAGAGGGCATCCAGCCCTCAGCAACCAAAAGGTTGGACCCTCCTGCTCTAAATATTAGTGCCGTCTTTCCTGTAAAAAAGGGGATGCTTGCTGATAGCACTGACCAAAATACTCTACTTCCCAGTCCATCTGAAAGGCTATCATTTATTAACAGGAGAATGTTCAAAATCTCATTAGGAATATTGACTCTCTCTCCACATCACTTGTTCCAATGAAGAACTTTTTGTGAATAGAGTCTATATTCTAAAACTGCAACCAGGAGTGGATTAATGTCAGCCGCTCAATCTTGGAGTACCAAAAGTGGCCACTCAAAGCAGCTTTCAAAATACTTGTACCTTCTCATTATTGCCTCACAAAGCACCTCTTGTATTCAAAAGCTATTACCTATTTCTAGTCATGAAAAATGGTCCACATTTTACTAGTTATTAGAAGGGAATTTACTGGAACTTTAGATTGATTACAGTATCTAATACGTAAGCAAATACCGTGAAACAATGTCATTTTTCCAATATTCAGTTGTTGGCTTTATTAAAATTGGCGCTACAGGGCATTTTTCTGTCTGCTTGCGCATTGCCATGTTTGGGCAGCTTTCATCATGGCTTAAACCTGTTTAATGGTAGTTCAGCTTATTTTGTTTTTGATTTAAAATGGCATGTTTCAATAATTTACTTGCCAGTCATCTGTCAAAACTCATTGTTTGCTGTGCAAACACATTCTACCAGTTAGAGAGTTGGGGCTGGGCTCAATTCTCCAGGCTCTTCAACTGATCCAGCTCTGTAGCCTAAGCTCTCTCCTACTCAAGGCCCCACACACTCATTACCCCGTCCTCGCCAAGATCCTTTGGTACCCAGTACCTCAGAAGATTGATTTTAAGGTCCTACCTGGTTATGATGTTCAAATCCTCCGCATCACTCCCTATCTATGCAAATCTCCAGCCTGAAGCTTTGATACTTCCTTTTTACTTGCTACCAGCGTCATTCATTCCATCAAGAGTAAACCTCATCTTCTAGAGCTCTTTTTTAAAAAGAAACTTTGCCTCACTACCTCTCCTTCCCAAATATATATATCTCCATGATCTGCGTGTGGTCAATATCTTTATATCTTACTTCCATTCTATATTTGACAACCACTATGTTTTGTCGAGAGCTTCAAGGGTTCCTTTGTGTGAAAGAAGCTGTATAATTATAAATAGTTGTCATTTGATTCAATGACCCAGTATGCTTTCCTTTCACTTCAGGCATCAGGTTGAAAGTCTTATCGTGTCCTCTGTCTGGATGTAGGGACTGGACTCTATGTAAAGTAATCTCTGCAGTCTTAAAACGTTCGTACAGTTCTATGGCAAACCCAGTAACTGACACAAATGACAAAGTAGTTGCCAATTCGCTTTGGAGACACCACAAAGCATGAAAATTTCACACTGGAACATTGGAATTCTTTTCTGATTTATTCATTCAGATCATTGAATAGAGTCGAAAAACAGAGGAACCAAATAGAGGAACCAAAGTGGGGAAAAAGCTTTAATTCCCACCACTTATTTAATTCTTACATCAGATACATTAGCACTGGAAAGTGTGAGTCAACAAGTGTTATACTTTGTGAATAGTCATTTCCTTGCTCTTTTTTTCTTGTCTTGTGCTTTTGACATCTGCCCAAAGGGACACCCTGGCTCTGCGTTTTCACAAACGTTTGTGTGAAAAAACAGCAGCCATGCGTAAAGGGCATTCCAGTGACGTCAAAATCAACGCGGCAGGGAGGATTGCTATACAAATGCAGCAGGTTGGACAGTTATTACAAACCCATATTTGTTTCTCATTTTAACAGTTCACAAGAAGGTCATTTTCCAGATGGTAGCGAGACGGCTTATAAGACATCGCTGAGTATATAAAGGGTCTTTTGGGCCATTTAACTAATTTACAATAATAATACTTAGCATAAATTGAAAAATGGTATGAGAATGTTATAAAGAAAATGCACCATAGTCCTCTGTGAAATATGATTGATATCCTTTTGCTGAGGTTGATTGTAACTCATTCCTGACTTTATCCCTCGTAAATTGTTCAGTCTGCTTCATTGTGGAACATAAATCAGCTCCAAACCTGTGCACCACCATTTAAGAACAACTCAGTCACAAGGTGGAACATTATCCTTAAACTTTAGGTAAAAGCCAGACTTCTTGGTTAAGGTAAACTTTTTTCCTAAGATGAAATGGAATTGCCCATAACAACAACAAAATTACATTTGTATAGCGCCTTTCGCGTCTGGAGGACATCCCAAGGCACTGGACAGTCAGTGATTCGGACACAAGCTGGGGTTTGGGATCGGAGAGGGTCGAGAGCAGTAGGGGAAGGAGGGTCAAAGAGGAGGGTCTTGAGATGGGTCTTGAAGACTTTAAGCTGTACTGAACTGTACCCAAATAGAAAAATTCAACAAACTGAATAGTAACAGTTCACCAATGATAAGTCAATCAGTTCACAGATATTGACAGTAGATAATGGCCTTTTTCAAATGAGCAAGAATACACCATTGAAGTGGTATTACAACTATGTTAAAAGAACTACACGAAGTACAGGTGTTAGTATGAAACCAAGTTGGGAAGGTTTCAGTATCTTCCCAGCCCTGGATTTGAAAATAGCATGAAACCAGCCTCTGACTTGTGAAACCCAAACAGATAATAACACTCATTTGCCCTGTTGGAGCACATTACGATCACATGTAGAAGCTGTGTCCGTAAGATGAACATCCTTCATGGCCCAGTCTGAATGCTTCTACTCGGGGAGTGGGTAAATTAAGCACTCTGATACGCCGTCCGGCGTGAAGGGCGCTATATAAATGCAAGTTGTTGTTAATGTAAGACGACAACAACAACAACAAGATTCCATAAAAGTTAAGGACACAAATCTAAGAGTGAGGTCAAATTTTTTTTAGGCTGCAAAAAGGTGGAATGTCCTTGCAGAACCATTGGTTGAAGCAGAATCCTTTAATTGCTTTAAAAATATTTGAAAAGGAAAAGTATAAAAGAGCAGGGGGTAACACTGCAAGGATTATTATTATTATTATTATTAGCATAATTAACACATTTCTCATTCCTTGGGAGTGATAAAGAATTGACTATTATTCGTGGTAAATTGCCAGATTAGGCTTCTGCCTCAATTCTGACTTGATTACCTCATGGAAATTCTTTCAGGTTTTGTTGGATCATTGCTTTGAGTATTCCTTTGCTTCTGATCAGCGTTTCCATCTTAACACCTAACTCAGTTTTCTATTTCAGATTCTGGGTACTGAAGGCAGCAGTAGAATTATAAGAAACCCAAGGAAGACTTGAGGCAATAAAGTTAAAACATCCTAGAAGAAATTCTAAAACGCTTTGAGGATGTGAATAAGACCGAAACCTTGCTTCCCCAATCCAATCCTCAGAGCAGCACGAATCTCTTACAACATGCACAATATATTCTACCTCACATATTGTACATTATTAAACTGCATTCTGGTGAGACACTACAGGCATGCTAATAGGTACTTCGCGATGTTGGTATATTGAATTTTTTTTTTTTGAAAACACATTTTTCCAAATCCTTCCTGTAGAAAAAGCTACTGTGGAGAGAGCAATTCCAATTATCTAAACATCACAGTAATGTGAGCCATCATTGTGCTTTACCTTCCCTTTGTTTAAATAAGTCAATTAAAAATGCATAGCTCTTCATTGCTCTTCTAGTCGGATGGCAAAGATTACCAGCTTGGCTATTGTACTGCCTGAGGTACACATAGACTTGTCTCATTTTCTGCAGCAGTGGGGTAGAACAAGTAAATGGAACAATTTTATTTTTGTCTTTGCTGGCCTAAAGCTACTTTTCATTCTTCCGAACCAGGGGGAGACCAGTTGAAGACTTCTTTTCTTTTAATACAAAAGAAAAAAAAACATTTATTACACCACCAG